TTTCCTTAGCCGTATATATAATTAATATGTATATAGTTGCAAGAGTAAGATCTGGATACTTTAGCAACTTCAGAGGCACCTAAAATACTTGGATAATAGATGCTGTATTTTAAGTAAAATCAACAATTCAATTAAGCACAAAACTCAGTAATACAATGAAGGTTAATATCAGCAAATGATTTGCCGAGTGTGAAATTGAAATATCCACTTGCAGCAAATCAGTAGGCCTATTTTTAAAAAATGTATATAAGAGTCTATACTCATGTTTAAAATTACCTGAATATGGAATTAATGTCAGCAGAGAGAAACATCATTACAAAAATGTAGGCAGTATCAAAACAGGATCACAGTTTCCTACTGATCTTGGTCCGATCATACTTAAAATATTGAATAAGTTGCTATCATTAAAAAACAATCTTTTGTCCCAGTCCGAAACCAATATTTTTGTTAAAGCTAATTTGACATAAAATACTTTAAAGCACGGGTGACAAACTCATGGCGTCATGTTGCCATCGCATGATGTATCACAACCTTTTTTCCCTTGGCGGAGCTAGGGTGGGCGTGGCCTGCACATGACACATCCCGGCCCATGGGCCATCAGTTTGACATCCCTGCTTTAAAGGAATAAGCCATTCAAATGCTAGAAAAGTCAACAGAGCTGGAAGTTCTGCAAAGTGCTTGGTATTTTCCACCATTAGAGGACTGTACTTTATGCCAAATTTTCCTGTCCTAATGAAAAATCCTCTCATTAGTCTTCTTAACAACCCCTTTTTGAACATGTTGATGTCGAATTTTATGGTACATGTGTCCACAACTGCATGCCCTGGAGATCGGTTAAGCTTTAACAAATCATTGTGGTATATTAAAAAGTAAAGACACTTTTACATTCTGAGAAGTCAATCCATTTTCTTTTATTTGGACTTGGATACTTAAATGTTATTAATTTCAGGACTAAATAAGACTGGTTTCAACATCAATCGTCTGTTTCTGGTGCCAATTTCTCTTCCTCTTATATGCAGTTGTTCTAATCAACCCCAGCTGGAGCCTGAATAAAATCATAGGACTCTTGAGGATTTCTCACACTCAATTACACCTTTAAATCACCTATATTTGCATTTACATATCAATGTATTTGACAGCTTCCATAACCTCACAGGAACAGATGATGCATAAAGCAATACAGCCCCTTTTTACATCTCTTTCATGGTTGAAATGGGGATGTGCAGTCAAGTAGGGAAGTGGTCATATTTATGATGCAAGCCAGTTGAAGCATTGAATTTTCTCCTTGATCCCAACTGGTTTAGATTGAATTTAAATAGTAATTACAGTGTTATTCTTTTAAATTTAAACTTGGATGTTCAGCTAAATTCAATCCTTCAAGTGTTTTGGGGGCAGTCATCAGAGTGAATATTGCCTACCTCTTTGATTCACTGTTGTCTTTTGAACATTTCTATACCTTTCTACTAGTTTATGTATATATGTAATATAATAAGAGCTGAGGGAAAATCCATCTGATGATCAGCTCTCTGATCAAGGTCAATTTCATAAACCTACTGCCACTTATTTCATTCACAACTTTTGATTTGCTTTAAGCTTTCTGGTACCCCAAGCTACTGTTCCCTGAATGAATTAAAGGCATTCTTCAGCTTTCACTGTTTCAAAGACAAATGGGCTTTAAGATGGTAAGAAGCACTAGAGATAATCAAGCAGCAAAAAACAGCTATAGCCAAGATCAGCAGATACAAAGCCCACTATAAGCAGAATCTGCAATTTCAGCCAAAGCAGAAACATTTTCACCTATTGATGGAGAAACTGTAGTGAATCCAGCAAAGGAAAAAAACAAAACAGTGCAGCTCTGGTTGCAGCTATGGGACAACCCAAAGAAATACAAACAAAAATGCAGTTTTGATAAACAAGATGGATAAAATAAAAAAGCTGAAATGAAAAAAAAACACCTTATAATACAGCAGAAGAGGTAGAGAAAAGGGCAAATAAAGAAAGGTAGAGATGAACAGTGAGGTTTTTGGTTGAAACAGCTGACTGGTCTACACTCACTCATTGCCAAGCAATTTAACATATTGCAAGGAGATGAAATTGAAGATCTTATAAAGATACTGCAAAAGAGGTAATAGCAGGCAAATTTACCAGCCGATCAACAACTTTCAAATTGCTAATTGGTCTTGTAGCTGATGCAGCCCAACAGCATTCAACAACTGAAAACAAACTAGGTTTGTTCTGATTTGATTTCCACCTGAACAGAAAAGCAACCACCCAAACAGCAGGGGAAGAAAAGAACGGTGGCTAGTCGACAAGATGATTTTGGAAAACTGCATGGGAAGATTACCTTCAATGTAGCTTGAATTAATTATAAAAAGGCCTTCCCTCCTCTCCTCTCTCTCCTCTCCTCTCCATTAAAATGTATTTTATATATTAATAAGGTGGGTAATTTGGAACCAGTCAATGTCAATGCAGCCTATTTCACAAGGTGGCTTTTGTGGCAGAAAAAGGAGGGGAAGAAATGTGGTTGATATCACTTTCAGTTTTTAAACAAAAGATAGGATGGAAATCTAACAAGCAAACAAACTAAAAACAGTGGCAAACAAAAAATGCTCCAAAATGAATAAAAAACTTAAAATTGCATTTAAGATAGGAAATTGACTCAGTTACAGTGGTAATTTTTTTGATCCTCAAAAAATCCCAATCATGAAAAAAAAATGATTAGTTATCTCCATAGCAGGACCTGAAAAAGGTATTTCACTGAAGATGTGAGAACAGGAGAGTAAGAGATAGGCCTTCCTGGAGCTAACTCGAATTAAGACATGTAAGTGAACATCTAAAATTGGACATGGAAAGCAATTGGCGAACAAGATAAGACAAATGGTAAATATATGATCATAGGAAGCTATTATTAGTTTAAGTGTGTGCTAATTATCAATTGCCACGTGCCAAAATCATGATAATGTAATATGGATACACTATGATGGGAACAAGGTCCTGTTGTAACTTCAGTCACTGAACAAACAGTAAACAAGCTTCAAGTTTCTCTTTCTTTCTCTCCCTCCCTCCCTCCCTCTCTCTCTCTCTCTCTCTCTCTTACACACAGATTCAAAGTGGATATTACTGGATACAATGGAAAAAAATGTTTCTTGGATCCTTGATCTGGGACAGCAAAGATGTCACTTAATTGTGCCTTAACTTTAAGTTATCTAAATATTACTTTTTTTTACAAAGTCCAAGTTCCATTTATTTTTTCCATAATCATAATTTGTGCTTTATGATATCTGTTGTATTGCAGTATCAGAATATTATTTTACAATACAAGGATGCTTGCAATTTCATCAATAATGTGCGGAATCAAGTTTATGTCTTTTGGTTATATTTCAACACTTTTTGTTTTGTGTTGCTTTTTTATTATGTTTAAATCATCTATGATCTTCTTTTCAGATTATTTGTAAAGACATTATAGATAGAAATTAAGGACATTAAGAAGAGGTATTTTGAAAGTTTAATGAGATAGTAAGGCTACAATCTCATGGAGAAACTATCTAAGAATCAACACCAACTTAATAGCACATGATCGTAATGAATGCTACAATCAGGCCCTTGCACTTCATGGAATTGACTTATCTGTGGAGTCCTAAATACATTCACCGAAAAGTAAATTGCAGTGAATTCAATGGACTGTTCATCTGGCTGGAAGATGTATCATTACTCTTCCATTTCTAATATAAATCTTCCCTACAGCTCTTCCTCTGCAAGCAACACAAAAGAGAAGAAATGGTTGCCAGTTAAAACTGTATTCCCTACTGACCACTGCTGTGCCACTGACATGGTGGTTGCATCTCCAAAACAGGAATAGATAGTGGATTTCCCATTGCTTCGTGACAACAGATTTCAATTAAGTCACAGTTGCTCTCTTGCCTGAGTAACCAGGAGTAACCAATTGTTTTGACCTCTTGGGAAATAGAGACATTCTCACAAATGAATTTGGAGACTGTAAAGCCTGTAGAATCTGAATCCTTATCAATCAGCCTTTCATGCACAAAGCAGCACAATGAGGCATGAGTGATGCAATTTCCTCTTTTGCCAATTCGCATCATGTCATTTCATTCCTGTGACCAAGTAGGGTGATGGAAAGGGAAGAAGAAGCAAGGCAAGCATAACTTCTATTGTCACCTTCACCCCATTTTTATATTAAACATCTCCCTTGTGGGATCTCCAAAGTATTTCATCTGGTGTAATCTCCAAGGAGGATGGAATGGCATTAATCAGAAATGTTCTTCTCCCTGAAAATTGGGCAAAACTAGAATTTCTTAAACAAAATTCTCTGGAGATTGTTTTGTTGGCTCCAGAAATGTTGCAATGGCTTTAATATAGATAAGTTTTACTTATCTAACTAATGTATAGCTATGTTTATTAAGAGACATATAGCTATGTTTATTAAGAGACTTTATTAAGAGTTTATTAAGAGAATTTATTTATCAAAGCACCTGAGGGTAAAACAAGAAGCAATGGGTGGAAACTAATAAAGGAGAGAAGCAATTTAGAATTAAGGAGAAATTTCCTGACAGTTAGAACAATTAATAAGTGGAACAACTTGCCTGCAGAAGTTGTTAATGCCCCAACACTGGAAATTTTTAAGAAGATGTTGGATAACCATTTGTCTGAAGTGGTGTAGGGTTTCCTGCCTGGGCAGGGGGTTGGACTAGGTCCCTTCCAACTCTGTTATTCTATTTCTATTCTAAGACTGCCTGACTTTAGCTACGTTTAACCCAAGGTTGCTAGCTCAAATTTATATGATAGAAAATCACACTGTATGGAGTATGGCTTAATTGTGTTGTTGTTTTTTTTTAAAAAAAAAACTCTATTAATATAGTAACAAAACAAGTTAAAGACAATGATTCCCATATAAAATTCAACAAAAAGGTTCTAGAACGTCCAAATGAAATTCTGCTCTTAATCTTTCTTATTCCATTTAATTCAGTTTTGATCAAGTTACTTTGTTTTGTTTTGTTTTCCTAAAGGGGGAATATTTACAATGACATTATCAGGATGGAGTTCAGAGGAAGATTTTTTTTACCTTAGTGAAAAGGCTGCTGATTGTATAATGGATGGCAGGAGACTCATACCAATCCTCTCTCTAGCCATTTCCAGCAGAAAATGATTTCCTGCATTTTTGTATTTTAATTGAAACCCAGGAGAAGATATCAGGAGGGAATTCTTCTGATGTAGATTTTTCAGATCAGGAAGAAAAGACAAACAGGAAGGCTGTAGAATGAAACAGATATAATATAATAATATAATATAATATAATATAATATAATATAATATAATATAATATAATATAATAATATAATATAATATAATAAACATAACGTAACGTAACATAACATAACATAACAACAAAATAAAGTTAAAGAAACAGGAAAATGTGAAAGAAATTTAAAACTATACTGAGAGAAAAGAAGAAATGAACCCGCAAAAAATATTCTTGTTTTAAGAGAAATAAAATATGGGGAAATGGAAGAACAATTTCAGCACAGTAAATACAGTAGTCTATTCTGCTAAGAATATATGAGTCAGATCCACATAATTGTTCTTAGTTAATTGAGTAGTAAATTAGCATTTGAATAGTCAGAACACGGAAGGCAAAAATTTTAATAATCCTAGCTTTGTCAATATTCTGCAACATTCTTCCTAATAATATCAATATTTTTTAAATAATAATAATAATAATAAATGTGTCATGGGAAGTTCAGAAATACAGAACATAACACTGAAAAAGACAACAACAACAAAACAACAAGAGTTGCTGTGTTCCTACTTGACAGAAAAGATAAATCCTGAACAATGGAAAAGCAAAGATATTTGCTTTGAGGATTACAGAAATTGAAGATTACATGGTAGGAAATCCTAGGGATTCGTTGGCAAAGTTGGGGAAAGATAGATAGACCCTTGTCAGTGTACCTGAGTTATTTCTATTGTTAGGCAAAACAGCCTTTCAGGAGTGGCAGAAGAGTTACTGTTTAGGATATGGAATGGAGAATTCCTAAATGAGGGTTGGATTTTGGAATGTCTTTATGTTACAATTCCCTTACATAGGGCTGCCTTTGGGTTGTATTTGTGAGCAGTTAAGTGAAATCTTTTTTTTTTTATTATTTAGACTGCAATGGGCCTGTCCAGAGGCAAGGAGGGTTAACTTAGGTCTCAGAATTCAGCAAATAGAGGAGCTGAACTAATCCTGGTCACATTCAAAAGACAGGAAGAAAGGGGGATGCAGCCTCCAGTTTCTTTGTTATTAGAGGCAAACCAGCTTCGTATCAAATTCATACATTAGACTTTCACACTCAATGCTGACTCATGCATTAAAAACTAGAGTTCATTTTTTTTTTATTTTTGTGATTTTTTTCCCTGGCTGATTCTTTAGTGTTTTCCAGTATTATCTAAATGTGATCATTGAAAATATTTTTATATCACTAAGATAGATGCCAGAACTGTTTTTAAATTATTTTTTTTTTATATACCCATGAAATTCTACTATTGGTTGATGGAGAGATTAGGTAGATTAAGTTTTCAACTTTTAGTTATGACCTAGATTTTTTTCTAATGGCTATTTGTGTCTAACCTGGTCTCTCAGGTCTTTGAATGGTGCATTCATCACCACTATGAGTCCCTCCACCTTGCTGTTGGCTATCCTTTCCTTTTCTTCAATCCACCTTTCCCAGCATTTGAATCTTCTCCAGAGAGTTAAGACTTTGCATAATGTGTCTGAAGTGGGATAATTTGAACCAGGTCATTTGTGCCTCATGTGAGAACTCTGGTTGATTTGTTTGTTGATCCATCAGTTTGCATTCTTGGCTGTATTCTCAGAAGTCTTCTCCAACACCAAAGTGCAAAAGCCTCAATCATTTTTCTATCCTGCTTTTTCAAAGTCCAATTTTTGCTTCTATGGAGTGTCTGTTATGAGGAAGCTAAAGTGCCATTTCATCTCATAGTAATCTCCTGCATTATAAGATGGGCAGATGTGTTGATCTCTCATGACTTTTAAGAATATAACATAAGTAACATAAGAATCCTCTATTGAGCAAACAGTATCAAGCTCAAAACACGCTTATGTTGTTGCAACCATTATTGCTTTTCAACTTGCCAAAGAAGAGGACCGAAGGGTGAGATGGAATGCAGTCTCCAGACTTCAAGAGGCAGAGCTGTGAGAGCCAAGGATACTTTGGTAGGTGTTGGCCAAGACCTGAGACTTTTTCTCATAACAATACAATGACTTTCAATTGGACAATGTGACTTGCACTAATAGGGGGAGGGAAAAATTTATACTGTAATTATGTGGGTTTGCATAGGAATTGGGTAGAACTGGTTTTGCCTTCATCGATTTTGAAATGATGCACTGAATAAAGTTTTGCATTCAGACATTGGAAGGACTCGAACGTACTTGCTTTGGTTGGGTTTGTCAGTTGGAACGTTGACAAACAGGTCTAATAATTTTGTGTCTATCTTGTAGAAATGTGTGCTGGAATGAGACAGACTCAGAAGGCAAAGATACAGCAGAGGAAGAAAATCTCAATACAGCCTTAATTTGTATCTTTGGAGATTTGGGGTGCTGCTTTTTCAGATGAAGAAAGAGAAAATGAGGCTGAACAATGGTGCCTCATTGGCATAGGTGCGTTTCAGCAGGTTCTGAGCAGTTCTGGAGAACTGGTAGCGGAAATTTTGAGTAGTTCGGTAGTAAAAATTCTGACTGGCCCCACCCCCATCTATTCCCTGCCTCCCAGCTGATCGGGAGGAAATGGAGATTTTACAGTACCCTTCCCCTGCCCCGCTCACCAAGCCACATCCACAGAACCGGTAGAAACAAAAATTGAAATCCACCACTGGGTGAAGGTATTGGTTTTTAGTGACAAACATTCTTCAGGATATACCTAGTGATCAAGTGAGCAGAACTACTCAAAATCAGAACTGTATTCCTCTTATTTTTACTTGCTCTACATAGATCTCATATAACATAAGGAAGAGCCGCAGTGGCGCAGTCCTCCTTTTCTCAGGGTGATTATTAAATGTTTTTGAATACTTCAATAAGTAGCATTCATAAAAGAAAAATCTGTATCTAGCCTGGTATACCTAGCACTTCATACTGAGTTTCACATCATATAACTTTCCTGGACAATTCTAACTTTGCTCTTCCTTTCTGTATGTGACATGGATAAGTGTATCTAATAATTGCTTTTAAAAAATGGTCTGATTGTGTTGCTGACCCCCAGACAATTAGTTGTACTCTTGGAAAAGCTATTATTATCCCTTATAAATCATTCCCTCTTTTATGTATAATTTATTTGTCTAAAATTTGTATTAGTTATTTACCACATTGTCATCATGGATTTCATTGTATTCTGGTCCCAAGGAAACAAAACTAGAAGCAATTGTTCAAATCAAAGATTTTTTTTTCAAAAGTAATTTGTAAGTCTATTCATCAGTTTTGATGGGATTTGTAAAGCCTGGAAAGGTTTGGTTTGACTGATAATTTTGCCCTCTTCAGCCAAAAAAACACTCCAAAGTAAATGACACCATTTGTGTTTCTTCCAAGTTAGGCAATGGAATGAATGAAGTTCTGCTTGAACAGTTCAGGAACCACATCAATGTGAGGTTCAGTCTAAAGTGAAGCAATCCATTTCTGAAGTCCTAGGTGAGCTCTCAAAATGAATTATGTGCTCATTCATAGTAACCTCGTGAACATTTTATGTCTGCCACAATTCTTTCCATAATTCTGAGGTTCTCATTTACTAACTATATCAGATTAGGGCTATTGTCATAGGAATTCTTAAGAATATATTGACTCAACCTTCCATCCTTCTGAGGTGGGTAAAATGAGGACCCAGATTGTTGGGGGCAATGTGCTGACTCTGTAAACCACTTAGAGAGGGCTGTAAAGCACTATGAAGCGGTATGTGTCTAAGTGCTATTGCTATTATTTCAAATAATTTCCATTAGCTGTAAGGCTCAACCTTATGATCCACACCCTTTCTCAAGCATCTCCGAATTTTGATCCCAAAAGCCATCCAAACAATTTGAAATGAGATATGCCTTTGATTCAATTGTAAGTAAGCATCTTCTTGTGAACCATCAGCAGGAACACACATGGCAGGGAGTAGAATAAATAAAATGTCAATCCTAACAAAACCTTTTATTCTGGAGTGCTGGGAGGTGACAAGGCAGGAGATTTGTCTTTTTCCTGGCAGCTTTTAATTGTGTGTTCCTGTAATCCTTAAAAGAAAACAACAACCCAATTCATATCAACTACCACAATAGAGACGGGTCAAATCCCCAAATTTGTCAAACTCTGCTTACAGGATGTTCCTGTCAAGCAAATAAAGAAGGACAAAAGTTGTTTTCCAAGATCTCCTTTTCTCCCATAAGTTCTGAAATCCATTGGACAAGATCAATGCCTGTCTGGAATAGTCTAGAAGGAAGTGGCGCGATGAGAGTTTGATTTATTATTTTATATATACGAAATAGCATGCAAAATATATTTGGAGTAACCAGAAACATAATCAAGAGATTTGGAATGTATGAACAGAAAATATATATGTTTTTTAAAGAGAAACAACTGAAAGCAATACATATCTATTTGACCGATTCAGCCAATTACCCAGCACTATCAACCATGAAGATTTATCAGACAGAGAAAAAATGTTCTGTCAGCCTTAATACATCAGTTACCTACACTTCCAGAAAAAAGCTGTGTTTTCAGTGAATATTCAATCTTTTTCTGTAAACAGTACTCAAGCACCCATTGGGGGACCCAGTATAAATGCATAACTTGACTTATCTCTTAGAGAAATAAAACCATGCTACTCTGCATGTAACTGCAAAATCTCCTTAGTCATGAAAAAAATGTTATATATGAATCAGTGGTGAAATGTAAAATTTGTTACTACCAGTTCTGTGTGCCTGGCTTGGGCAGGGGGATAATGTGACTGGGTGGGCATGGCCAACTTTTCTTTTTTTTACTTTTAAAAGCATTTTTTTTACAACCTCTGAAGAGGTTGTATAAAAAATGCTTTTAAAAGGCTCCGACGATTAGGCAACTCAGCTGAGATCCTCAGAGCCTTTTAAAAGCATTTTTTCCAGCAAAGGTTCTGACGATCAGGCAACTCAGCTGGGATCATCAGAGGCTTGTAAAAGCATTTTTTTCTATAACCTCTTCAGCTGAAGAAGTTGTAGAAAAAATTCTTTTAAAAGCCTCTGATGATCCCAGCAGA